CAACAGGTAAGATCTGCAAACAGGCATTCATGGTTCTGTCCCATCATCAAACCTTTTAAACTTTTCTTAGCTTTCTCTGTCTGGATATCTGGTGGGTAAACATTTCAATTGCAACGCTGGTGATGTTAGCTACAATGTTGCAATAGAAGCCTACCTTTTCCAAAACAGCGTTGTGTATTCTATTATTGTCTCTAGTGTCTTTAGAGAACTGTTTTACTTTGATGTCCTTTGTCTTCTGTCCTTCTTTTGTCTTTCTATTGTGTTGTTAACTAGCTATTTTTTGTTAGCTAGTTAGCTTATTTTAGGAGATTCCCTAGCAACTGCTTATCAACTGGTAAACAATCCAATTAGCTAAGCTAACTGCACTATTAAAAAAATATACATACTTTTTCACAATCCTATCTTCTTCATTCGTTGCTTGTTTTGTCTCTCATTCAGTCTTGCAGTTTTCTTTTGTTTTTTCCAATGTACTTCACTCTAAAAACCATGTACATTTCAATATTTGTAGGAGCTCAATTTCTTCAGCAGCTGCTGCTCAATTTGGAACTCTCAATTTCAATTCAATTCAATTTCAATTTAAGGGCTTTACTGGCATGGGAAACATATGTTTCCATTGCCAAAGCAAGTGAAATAGATAATAAACAAAAGTGAAATAAACAATAAAAAATGTACAGTAAACATTACACTCACAGAAGTTCCAAAAGAATAAAGACATTTCAAATGTCCTATTATGTCTATATACAGTGTTATAATGATGTACATATAGTACAGAAAGGAAAATAAATAAACATAAATATAGGTCACAAATCTTGCTGTAGTGATTGCACACTGTGGTATTTCACCCAATAGATATGGGAGTTTATCCAAATTGGATTTGTTTTCGAATTCTTTGTGGGTCTTTGTAATCTGAGGGAAGTACAGTGGGAAGAACAAGTATTTGATACACTGCCGATTTTGCAGGTTTTCCTACTTACAAAGCATGTAGAGGTCTGTAATTTTTTATCATAGGTACACTTCAACTGTGAGAGACTGAATCTAAAACAAAAATCCAGAAAATCACATTGTATGATCTTTAAGTAATTAATTTGCATTTTATTGCATGACATAAGTATTTGATCACCTACCAACCAGTAATAATTCCGGCTCTCACAGACCTGTTAGTTTTTCTTTAAGAAGCCCTCCTATTCTCCACTCATTATTTGTATTAACTGCACCTGTTTGAACTCGTTACCTGTATAAAAGACACCTGTCCACACACTCAATCAAACAGACTCCAACCTCTCCACAATGGCCAAGACCAGAGAGCTGTGTAAGGACATCAGGGATAAAATTGTACCTGCACAAGCCTGGGATGGGCTACAGGACAATAGGCAAGCAGCTTGGTGAGAAGACAACAACTGTTGGCGCAATTATTAGAAAATGGAAGAAGTTCAAAATGACGGTCAATCACCCTTGGTCTGGGGCTCCATGCAAGATCTCACTTCGTGGCGCATCAATGATCATGAGGAAGGTGAGGGATCAGCCCAGAACTACACGGCAGGACCTGGTCAATGACCTGAAGAGAGCTGGGACCACAGTCTCAAAGAAAACCATTAGTAACACACTACGCCGTCATGGATTAAAATCCTGCAGCGCACGCAAGGTCCCCCTGCTCAAGCCAGCGCATGTCCAGGCCCGTCTGAAGTTTGCCAATGACCATCTGGATGATCCAGAGGAGGAATGGGAGAAGGTCATGTGGTCTGATGAGACAAAAATAGAGCTTTTTGGTCTAAAATCCACTCGCCGTGTTTGGAGGAAGAAGAAGGATGAGTACAACTCCAAGAACACCATCCCAACCGTGAAGCATGGAGGTGGAAACATCATTCTAGTGCTTCTTTGATTAGGTGAAAGTCCAGCTGAAATTGTTTGGGGTTTCCCTGTACCAATACTGTACCAGACTTGTAGAGATTTATATTGGCTGACTCAGAGTCCTCGTTGTCTAATATCCTGAGTTTCCACCCATCGCAGATATACTGTCCTAGCAAGCTTGGTAGCCTTAACCTAGCCTTCAGTCCTTATAAAGTAAAATGTATCATTGTTGTGTATTCTTCTTCTTGGTTGTAAAAGTAGCTTCAGACTAAACATTACTCACTCAGTTCCAGATTGGATGGTGTTTTCAGGTTTCTGTTGTTTGTTTGGCAGAGCATTTGATGTATCGATCTGGTAGTAGGAATCCTTCCAGGCAATTTAGTCCAAAATCAGGTTGTAGGTTTTGAATTTTGATTTGGAGTGAAGGTTATCTTGTGGAGGGTAGTATCATGTGTATGTCCTTGCCGAAAAATCCAAGTTTATCCAACTCAAAATTTTTGAAGAAACATGCTGAAAGATACGGGAGCTCATCTAATCTCTGACTCTCTCTCTTTCTCTCTCTCTCTCTCTCTTTCTCTCTCTCTCTCTCTCTCTCTCTCTCTCTCTCTCTCTCTCTCTCTCTCTCTCTCTCTCTCTCTCTCTCTCTCTCTCT